CATGGTGAAAGGGTGTGGAGGAGGAAAGCAGTTCAGGGCATAGTACCAGGAAACAGAATGAAAGACAGAGCTCCCCTCACCATGGACAAAATATATAAATTGTGCCCAAAGGCACAACCTCAGTGACCCACCTCCTTTAGCCATGCCCTATCTGCTTACAGTTACCACCCAGTTAATCCCTATCAGTATTAATGCACTGATTAGGTTAAGACTCTAATAACCCGATTGTTTCACCTCTGAACTTTATTATTGTCTCACACATGAGCTTTTGGGGAAACACCTCATATCTAAGCCATAACAAAGCAGATCTATAAATATTTCTTCCCTTACAACTTCCATCTTCCAATTCAAAACATAGCTTTCTGGGCATACTGTCTTGCAGCCTGTTCTACCTAATAGTGTGTCCTGGAGATATTTCTGTGCCATTGTCTTATATGTGGTGTGTTAGCTTTCTAACACTATAACGAAATAGTTGCCGTAATTAACTTTTAAAGTAAAAAGCTCAGAGTTTAGAGATTTTAGTCCATGATTGCTTGTCCCCATTGCTTTGGGTCTGTGGTAAGGTAGCACATCATGACAGCAAAACTACTGATATCATGAGCCAAGAAGGAAGGAAAAAAAAAAACTAGAAGGGTCCAGGGTCTCGCAGTCCCCTTCAGGGGCACACATCAGTGGTTTAAGGACCTCCCACAAGGTTCTACAACTTCCTAATAGCATCATTCTGTGGACCAGACCTTTAATATTTGGGCCTTTGGGGACGTTCAAATTGTAACATGTGTACTAGACCATACCATTTTCCTATATGAGTATTTGGTTTGTTTACAGTCTTTTGCTGTTATGAAACAGAACAATGTTAACCTTGTATATATCATTTTTTTTTTATTTTTTGCAGTTTTATCTGTGGAATACCTTCCCAAAAATGGGATTGCAAGATGTAAGGGTAAATGAGTTTATAAGTTTGATAGCTATTAAAAGAACACTGTATTTTTTATGACAAATCTATTATGTTAGTGAGTCCACAGTTGGTTGCCTGTGTGTTGTTAATTTATGAAGACCATGACCCACATTCTTAGCCATATAAGGTATGAATCATTCTATCTGTTTAGTACTAGAAAAGAATCTCTGAACCTAGTGACAGCAGGGTATAGCAAGAAGCCTGTGTTCTGGTGGATGCAGCTTGGAACATTGGTTGACGGAAACCAATTAAATTAGAGTTGCATCCCCACCAAGCAGAGGCATTGTCTCACCTCAGTGTTCTCATGCTTTGTTGTGAAGCTACCATTTGTAGTTAACATTTCTTTGGTAGGTATGATTAAATAATTGATAATTTTATTAGATACTTCCTCCAAATTAGGGAAAGAGTTTAGCTAATTGAAATGTGTTATATGAATCTGCTTAGGTGGTTCCATAGACACAGCTCTGAGCATTGCTGTATGAGAAAGATACACAGAGGAAATCAGGAAGGGTAGCAGGACAACTTTGAGGGAAAGCATTAGGAGCTAATCTCTCTCTCTTGCAGCCAAGTGCAATTTTTTTTTTGTTATTTTTTTTATTTTTATTGTTTTTTGAGATAGGAGGATCTTGAGTTTAAAGGCAGCCTCAGCAAATAGCAAGGTTCTAAGCAACTCTGAGACTCTATCTCTAGATAAAATACAAAATAGGATTTGGGGTGTGGCTTAGTGATTAAGTGAGTTCAATCCTCCACCCGCCCCCCCACACACACACACAAAGGTTATGTCCCCACTGTAAAGGACGATGGAAAAGCTCTGTAAACTCAACAAGCCAAAACAACCATTTATTAGCAGGACTAGAGTGGCCAGTCGCAGAAGAGAAGGGAGT